AAAAGAGATGTTCCGGCAGTACCCTGGGGGACCCTCTCTCAAGCGTTACTTATAGTGTTAGTGAAGCTGAGAGGGTCTATGTCCCCGGGGTACTGCCAGAACGTACGCTGGGTAGGGTCCGTTATACCGAAACGTACCCTGGTACTAATCTAATATGCCGAACCGTACCTCGGCCTACTCCACTAACAAGTCTAGGGGTCACGCTACGCCTACTCCCTAACCCTAACCCTAAACCCTATACCATATCAAATATAGTGACCAAGGTATGTTCCGTGTATACGCGGACGCGTACCCAGGCTACGTTCCAGCATAGCTCTAGTACTGATAGCCCGCGTTCAATTACTGCCGCAGGCCTGCGGCAGTTAATCGAAGCGCGGGGCTATAGTAGTTTTAGTACTATAGTAACTAGAGCTAGTTCCGGCAGTACCCTGGGGGACATACATGATACACCCTATGATGGCTATATGAGCGTTAGTAATTATAATATGACTGCATATGTTACTGTGTTAGTGTGAGCACAGGCCCTTGGAGGCTCAAGTTTCAAGAAGAGTATAAGAGCGAAGGCGAAGCGGCTCAAGAGCCTGTGTGTGAGAAAGTACGAACCCGTTGGGATGGCCATGTAATTAGATAAGTTTGCCTCATTTTCTTGTCTTGCTGCTCGTCGCATCTGCACTCTGTCACTGTGCGGTACACGCAGTGGATATGTAGCAAATAGGAACTGAGTAAACACAACACTTCACGTCCTAGATAAGGGCAATGTACGTTTGTGTCTACACTAATTATATGAGAAATATTACACAATCTTTAACGTATAAACGTTTATATAAACTAACTGTTTGCTTAGAAACTAAGCCATTGCGATTTTGGTGCCATCTATGGCTAAAAGGCAACACTAGATTTGACTTGGCCTATTGGAATTATTTACATTTTGGCGTCTGCCTCGAAAAATTTCTGTCAGTAATCCAATGTGTAATCTATCGCATAATTGGGAAAAATTGGCCTAGAGCATGTTTTCCATATCACATACTTTTTTGACTACAATGTGGGATATCTACCATTCTTAGTCAGTCGAATAAGTCATTCGGCGTTGAGGCGCCATGGCTTAGTTGTTAAAGCGCCTGTCTAGTAACCAGGAGATCCCGGTTCGAATCCGGGTGGTGCCTGATATTTTTTTGCCGATGCAGTAATCTCCACCCGAAAGTAATAATGAACACACACAATTTCACACACGACTGCGCCGTATTACATTTTCTGACCATTAAAGCTCACTTGCAGTATATAGACAATACTGCAGCGTAAGGCGTGTTGCAAATTGCTTGACCTGGAATGGCAGGCACTGAGACATGACAGATGACTCCTGATGAGATGGTAGGCACAGAGGCTAAGCATGACACAGAAAGCACAGGGGGTCTCTGAGTGGCAGGGAAAGTCACAAAGGAAAACTATACAGCCTGGGCAAAGCAAATATACGATCATGATATATATTTTTTCAATAAGGGAACCGTCACAAAAATCTTAAATTTTTAATCTTTTTAATCTTAATTTTTTAATTTTGCTTTTTTAATTTTTAATCTTAAATTTTAGCTCAATTATAATTATGTGTATACCATGGTCTGAGGAATACTTACACATATCTGAAATTCTATACAATGGATGAGCGTCATACTATACAAACTATCAATAGGCTATAAATAAATAAACCAATATATATTTTGTGTGCGTGTATACATATATTTATTTCATTTATTTATTCTGTCATATCAGGAGGGTATATATGTCAAGTGCAATCATGTTTTCCTATGTATAGAGTTGACATACTCACTGATATCAGCACAGCTAGATGACATCACAATTTATGTCCAGTTGTCATTCTGTCATTCTGCCAGTCGCTCGTAGCCATAGAATATGCAATCCGCCTGCTCACAAATTGGTATCACATGTGTTGGGCTGTAACAGTGGTATATATATATTATATATATATATATATATATATATATATATATATATATATATCTGTATATATATATTATATATGGCATCACATGTATAGTGCTATATACAACACCATGCACTTCTATAATACACTCAGACTCCACAGCATTGTGTGAAGATATGCTTCATGTCAATCCAACATTTTACTACACACAAAAATCCGTGCTATTCGTGCTCCACACACGAGTTGGATATAGTTCCAGATTGCTCGCCCTCTCCACCGGTTTTCTCATCAAGTTCACGCTCACGACTGTTAACATCAAGTCCCTCTCCAAACTCATTTTTGATTGGCTCACAACATTTTTCCAGGTAAGCCACATTTTCGGGTGTAGATGTCAGCATATGCGTAGTGTCTCTGCACACAAATTCAATCGAATATTGTTGCCATGGGGACCCCACAACAGAATGGGGCAGTAGAACTGCGTCGTTGCTGTGGCGACCGCCGCACTAAGCGGGGAAGTGGAACTCCCGTTGTCATGGCGACCTTGCAACAAGACGATCCCACAACAAGACGCGGCCAGCAGAAGTGTGTTGTCGCCGTGGTTACCCCGCTACAAGATGGAGCCAGAGAAACTGTGTCATTGCCATGGTAACCCCCGCTACAAGACGGGGGCAGCGAGCTGTGACTACAGTAGATTATGGCACACAACAAAGTTGATAAGTGCTGCGATGATGAACACAGGGTACCAGCGTCCGTGCGACTGAGTCACCAGCTCTGCGCGTCAGTGTCCGCACACTCATGCCTGGTATGGTTGCCTGCAAGTAAACACGTGCTGCATCAAGTGGGTAGTCAAGAACGTAGGCATGTCCCGCGCATGCCCCACCTACTGTTTTAATTAGTTCACTGTCATTTTGGATGGGGAAAACACAAGGAACAAGTTTTAAGGAGAGCCTTTAATCGCACCACTAAAGAAAACTACCACACACATTTACCCAGATCTAATGTGATGTAATTTCAGCAATCAGACCACACTGGTTCAGAACTTTCCCATCTTGATGCAAGTGTTACGGTACATGCCTATGTCATGTATCAGGGAAGTCCCACTTGCCAACTTGTGTACTCACCAGAGTGTTAGAAATGGCGAACGTCACTCCGGAATGATGGGGAGCAACTTCAGAATGGTTGCTCAGGTGACCACTGAATTCGTCGCACATAGTCCCATTGAGATTGATATCAGGCTGGCAAGTTTACGTATCAATCAACTGCGTTACTGTTACCAAGAATGTAATTAAAAATTTAATTAAACACAGGAATTATCATCACAATTAAAGAATGTTTTCTGTGAATCGCATATGATATTGTCTCATAGCATGGAATAATCATGCCATATATACATCTAATCTTATCAAAGAAATTGAGAGAAGTAGTAGTATGACGTTATTGGACACAGAGTCAGTTACGAAGAATTTCTTCTTCCTAAAAATGCTTGCATCTTCTTGTTTCACATATCCAAGTTTAACTGTTTTAGTTTGTTGTGATTGACTGATGGATTGTTTTTTTTTTTCATTGCTTGTGTTTTGATTTTTTTGTTTATTTCATTGCTTGTGTGTTTGATTGTTAATTCAATTGTATGATTACTTGTTTATTGCATCTTTGATTGTTCGAATGATCATTTTGTTTGTTGATCAGTTTGTTTATCTGTTTGTTGGCTTGATTGTTAGTATGTTTGTTTATCTATTTATTTGTTTGCTAGTCATCACTCACATAACGGCTAGAGGCAGGTGCTGAACCCGCTGAAGAACAGTATGAAGACTCCAGGTCGACGAGACCCAGCGCGTCATGAGACGTCGCACGGAGAGCAGCGTCGAGCGTGACGAATCAGGAAGTCCGCACAGTGGCCAGCCGCTGCAACGAGCAAACAAACATTCACCCCGATAAGACAGCACATTACATAAATATACATATATATATAACATATATATAATATGAAATATATACTTATAATATTAGCCATCGCGTAAGATAAGACAGTCACATGCGGTCAGATTAGATAACATAATATAATATAACATAATAAATATTAGCATAAACATACATTATATCAGGAGTGAATAATAATAGATTATAATAATCTATAAATAATAATAGATGGATAATAATCTATAGTATTATTATTCACTTCTGTTATATTATATGACATATATAATATTAGCCAGTGCCGGCTGTAGATAAAACAGTCACGTGCGATCATATTAGATAATAAACTACACGTGCAGACAGACATGTGTTAACAGACACTTCAAATGAGCGAAGGTCCGTCTATGAATGGTATCGGCGGCATTTCCTAAGTGGCAGTTGTACATTGAAACTACGGCTTTAGAATGACTAGCTGTCTGTAAAGAAAGGTTTTTGGGTTTGCCGTTCACTGACCCTTAAACACAGGGTTGGATGTGACCAGCATGTGCTCTGTGTGCGTCAGTCCTGTGCATGCGTGAGTGAGTGTTGCATATGTGCATGCTTTCCTGCGCATGCATGTGTGCGTTAGTGAGTGTGTGCATTCCTGCACGTGTGTCCATACGTGCGTGTCATGTACAACATCTCCTCACCGATGCAACGAAAGAGTGGCTATGTAAGGCACAGCTGTGAGGCTCATGCTCTCGTTGCTCGGCTGCCCGAGTTTCTGGAGAGATACGTCGGCAACCAGTGCATGATGACTAGTTTGACCAGTTCATCGCAAAGTGAGCAATGTAGATGGACCACAGCGGCCAGCTTTTGAAGAACGCAACCCACTGCACTCCGGTCATGCTCACCTGTCAATGATGATCACAAACATGTATGTAGGCATGTGTGTGTGTGTGTGTGTGTGGTGTGTGGTGTGTGTGTGTGTGTGTGTGTGTGTGTGTGTGTGGTGTGTGTGTGTGTGTCTGTGTGTGTGTGTGTGTGTGTGTGTGTGTGTGTGTGTGTGTGTGTGTGTGTCTGTGTGTGTGTCTGTGTGTGTGTATGTATGTATGTATATACGTAGGTATGTAGGTATGTATATATGTATGGAAGTAGGTAGGTAGGTAGGTAGGTAGGTAGGTAGGTAGGCAGGCAGGCAGGCAGGCAGGCAGGCAGGCAGGCAGGCAGGCAGACAGGCAGGCAGGTAGGCAGGAAGGCAGGCAGACAGGGAGGGAGGCAGGCAGGCAGGCAGGTAGGCAGGCAAGCAAGCAGGCAGGCAGGCAGACAGGCAGGTATGTATGTACGTATATATATATAATATATCAAACACACTAAAAGATCAATATTAGGCTACACAAAATGATTAGGTAACAGTACCGACAGTATCACACAGCTATTTTAGCATATTTGCAAAAAATACAAGCTAATATTGTTTCAATGAAATTGCAAGCCTGTCCTTTTCACTATGAAGGATGTGTGATCAGAGAAAACATATTTAGGAGGGCCTCGTACAATGATCAGAACATCTATGAATGGAACGGTACCTACTTTAGGAAAGAAGCCAGTTTCTTCCTCCATGGAAAGCACTAAAGGTTCAGTTGTTTCCTTGTAGAAGATGAGCCACAGTATCACCCAAAGCATTCCCATGATACCAAACACATAGAACATCCACGGCCATGGAAAGTGTGGGCAGACCTGTAGGCACACAATGTCATATAACACCTACTATGTCATCCTAGACACGTGTAACAACTGCAGCCACAGCAAGTGTGCACAGACCTGTAGGCAAATTATACGATATCATATAATGTGTAACACGTGAGCTTTATACGTTGTAAACAGCCCTATTTCACTGTATTTTGTTATATTATTTTGCTACATTTTTTAATTGTATATTTTATTATAGCATTAGCCTATGATATTTTGTTTCCATTGCATTAAGAGCCAGAGATGTTTGATTGCATTGTCATCACAGCTTCAAATGAAGATATCTGCAATGATCATTATTACGTTATCTTTCACAAGATATACTCACCAATGAAGCGATAGTTTGCCCGATAGTACCGAAGGATACCAGGTAGGAAAATGCTTTTGATCGCTCCTCAATCGGCACATTGTTGGCAAATATGTGATAAACAGTTGGTAGACCTGTAATTGACACAAAGAAATTACACAGGAAAGTTTTTCTACTTTTTTTTCTACATGAAACAAAGGTAGCTCAAAAATTTGAGTATGGTATTTGCCTAATGACAAGACAAAACATTTTATTACTGTTATAATTAATGTACAAGCACAAACTATAACATCTGCCTAATTTAGCGTGGAAATATCATATCCTAAGCTTTCCACCTAGTCTGTGGTGTTTTTGGGTTCACATATAGGCATAAACATAAAAGGGATAGATTTCATATT